CGCTCTTCAGCCCTACGGCGTACGAGCGCCTGGCACTGCTGCTCGGCGGCCTCGCGCTGCTGGGCGTCGGCGGCAACCTGCTGGTGCTGTTGCTCTACTCCAAGTTCCCGTGGCTGCGCACGCCCACCCACCTCTTCCTGGTCAACCTCAGCCTGGGCGACCTGCTGGTGTCCCTGTTCGGAGTCACCTTCACCTTCGCGTCGTGCCTGCGGAACGGCTGGGTGTGGGACGCTGTGGGCTGCGCGTGGGACGGGTTTAGCGGCAGCCTCTTCGGTGAGTTGCCCGGGACGCGTCCTCCTCGCCTCCCAACTTTCCTTGGGTACATCTGCTCTGGGCTTTCGTCCTCCCCGGGGTCCTCCCTTCTAGCCAGTTATCACCCCTAACTCCTGGTCTCTCTCATCCCCGGGATCCTCCCTTCCAGCCGCTCTTCATCTCCCAACTCCCCGTTTTCCTCCTCCTCGGGGTCCTTCTAACCGGTTGGTCGTCACCCCCAGCTCCCAATGCAGCTGCAGCAGTTCAGAAAGTCTCCCTGCCGCTGGCCAGCTTATAGCCTCTCATTTCTGTTCTGATTTTACTTCCTACTGTACTCAACAGGGCGTTTCACAATGGTCTTTACACAAGGGGGAGAGAAATGAGGGCCTGTAGAGGCAAGAGATGCAAGGAAAAGCCAACTCCCGAAAAGTGGAGAAGGGGGCACGGAGAGATTCAATCATATACATTTAGGATTTGTGTCTCAAAGTGACACGTAGAAGCCCAAATGACGGTGTATCCCCCTCCCCTTTCATTAGCTAGCAATTATAAACCGTTGAATGCTTCTTAGGGAGTGAGACGGTATGACATTTTTAATTGTTTCCTCTACATAGGTTCTGTCACACCAGAGGTTAGAAGTGGCTCAGAACTCCAACTCACTGGTGTGAATAAATCATTAGCTGGGTAGCCAGTCCGCTTAATTAAAGTAGAACTTGTTGATTTCCTGAAGATTTATATTGAGAATTGACAGGTTGGAGCTTGACTAACTCAGTATTCTAAGCTTGGGAAAGACCGTGGTGTGTGTGTGTGTGTGTGTGTGTGTGTGTGTGTGTGTGTATGTATGTATGTGTGTGTCCTAAGAATTTTGTTTGTACAGATATTTAAAATAGAAATGGGTATTTCTTAAGTCTTAAAGTCCCTTTTTTCAAACATTGAAACACACTGGTAATTTAATGCTATCTTTATCTTGGCAGCTCTTAGAGAAAAACATCTATGTAATATCATGGATATTTTTATTTGCCAACTTATGTGTGACAAATCTAAATCTCATGTTATTTGTCATGATTCCTTTTCTTTAAGTTTTAAAGAAAACAAGATTTTGGAGTTACGGTTTTATTTATTTCACCAGTTGATAATTGGGATACTTTCTTAGTCTCTTACCTTGATAAACATTAATCAAGGGTTTCCTTTATACAAAAATACTAAAACTTGAGAAGGGGCTATAAGAGGATGTGAATGGTAATGTAGGTTGACTATGTAATTACTCTCCATGTTTACTAAAAGAAAAGGTTGGTTGGGAGGGTGTTTTAGGAGGATTAATCTTTAAAGAAGATGTATGTCAATCAGACTAGCTCGCAGAATCCCTGGGGTAGGCGACAGGTGTTTGTTCACAGACATGAAAGTTCTTTTTCTGCTGAGGTGTTCAAGTGGGAGTGGGAAAACAAGAATGGGTTGAGGTGTTTTTGTTTTTTTTAAATAAGGGTTTTCAGCATCCACCCTGTTTCTCCCCCCTCTTGCTTGGCCAGCCTTATCTTCCAGTGTCCTTTCTTCCCCCTCCCCCTGCTGGGAGCCATCACCATCAAAAGAAATGCTTTAAAACCCCCAGAAGCACCCCCCCCCCTGGTGTTTTACTCAAGGGTTCCTTTACTCAGAATATTTATTCCCATCCATACAGCTGAGGTAGATCTTCTGGGGTTAGAGGACTGGAAATCAGTTAACTCCTGAGACTAGAGTGAGGTTCCTTGCAGCGCTCTCCACGCTCTTCACAAAGCTAGTTTCTTCTCCCTGAGTATGCTTCTTGAGGAGGGTTAAGGACGGAGAAGGGGGAAGACACTTCCTCTTTCCATCTCCAAGCCAGGACTAACCAATCCTGAGTACTAAAGGAGAGGAAATTTTTAAATGCTAGAAGTAGCTAGCTGCCTGCTCCAGAGCTTTGGTGAGGCTACACCACTGGACTGTGGGCACAAGGTGGGCCCCTGGCTTCTTCATCAGCTGCCCTTTCCAAGTCATTCACTCTCCCAGGCTGCCAGTTTTCTCATCTTTGTCACCCACTGTTAAGCTGACTATGTTTAAGGTCCTCTCTCCCATTTGCTTTGTATTTTTGAAGACTTCTTTTGACATCTATAGGTTAGAAAGTATCTCGACTTACTGCTTATAACTGCCCTCTGCCCCCCAACTGCCAGCCTCAGCCTTGTTTCCTTCTATGCCTAGAGGAAGTGACTACATGCTTACACTTTAGATGTCCTCAGAGGTTCTGTCTCCCTCTTTACCCCCTGCTATAAGAAGGGCGAGTAAGTAATTCACATACTCTCACATACATGTACAAGTAGACCAGGCCATTGCTTCATCCTGAGCTCTGGTCCTGGCTTCTCAGAGAAGGCTAAAAACAAGTAGAATCCCCGATGATCTTGGTCAGAGGTTTCTACCAGCTGGGCTTGTTAGGATGACCGTTTCAGTTAAACTGACACACCAGGCCAGAGACCTAGTGAAGTTCACGTTAATTGCAGTTGGATGGCTTGTTTTACAGATATCAGAATAATCATTCTCTTAGGTGAACCTGCATCTAGATGTCAGCAGATTTAACGGTAGTGAAAAATAGAGAGGCCAAGGAACACTGACTGCTGCTGTGCTTGATGAGCAACAAAAGGCTGGCAATGGGGTGTGTAAGTGGGTTATGTTAGTCTGCAGACTTCCAGGTGAGTATGTCGAAGGGGAGCAGCCTCCAGCCACACCCAGCATCGCAGGGATATAGCCAGCCTGTGGTGGAAGGGTACAGGAGAGTCTCTTTCTATTACTTCTTGAGAAATGAAAAGAGCATGTTTAGAAAGAGATTCATGGTTATAGAGACAGTCTGGCAAAATGGAAATATTTCCTTACTTAGATGTTATGAATAGATGTTATTTATGTTAAAATGTTTTAATACAGGACACTTCCTTATTTTAACTTACACATGCTCTTCGATACAGAAAATGTTAGAAAACTATTTCCCCTCAGGCCTGTTCTTTTATGTACCTACATATCTTAAAGGCCAGTTTTTGAATTAATTCTCTTGTAATATCTGGATGTCTCATGTATCTACTGCTGGATCCTTGGGATAGTTAAGGATGTAAAAATCTTCTATGCAGCTGTCTGCGATTACATACAGACATTCCTGACCGCAGCAATATCCACCATTATGTTGACGTGATCACTCTGCATAGTATGTTTCCATAAATACAATAAAGCCACATATTTCTTTTAGTCTAAGCTCACAGTATTGTCCAATTGTTTTTATTAACAATCAAATAATTATATAATTTTGATTTAAAAAAATTTTTTTTTGTAGGATATTGTGTCTGTGTTTCATGATAGTAATGCCTGGCTTTGGGGGAGGATATATAAGATATCCTTTGTTCATTTTCAAGAACTCAGAAGACCTGTGGGAAAGCATTTAATGACTTGCTTTGGGTAGAGGTTTGTATCCACGTTAACAAGTCAGGCTTCAGTGGATTGAGACTGCTGTTGCATGAAATTGCTTTTATATTATTTACAATTGTGTTCTTTTCTTGAATTTTCTTCTTTCAGAGAAGAGTTCCAGTCTCAAATGCTTATGTGATGCATGATAACATTTACCACTAAGGTGAAATGCAGAAATGAAAGGACTCATCCGTTTGAGTATTCTCAGATATGATTACATGCACTTTATCATGTTTTCCATGCTACTGACTTGTTTTTAATGTTTGAAAATTGTAACAGTTAAACAGCTTAGGACTTGCAAACTCAGTGTTTCTGAATGAAGATCACAAGTAGAGATTTTATTACAGCATAAATACTTCAGAGGAGCCCTCTACCTAGATCCCTAAGGAGTTCTTTCATCAGCTGTGACCTGAAGCTTCAGCTCCTAGGATGGCAGACAAGCTTCCCACAGAGTTTGATGTGGTTATAATAGGGACAGGTTTGCCTGAGTCCATTCTTGCAGCCGCATGTTCGAGAAGTGGACAGAGAGTTCTGCATGTTGACTCAAGAAGTTACTATGGAGGGAATTGGGCAAGTTTCAGCTTTACAGGTTTGCTGTCCTGGCTGAAAGACTATCAACAGAACCATGACAGCAAGGAAGACATGACTGCCTCATGGCAAGGCCTGATCCATGAAACGGAAGAAGTCATCGCTCTCTGCAAGAAGGATGAAACTATTCAGCACACAGAAGTCTTCTGCTATGCTAGTCAAGATGTTGGGGACAGCACTCAAGAGACCGATGCTCTGCAGAAAAGTCCTTCCCCAGAGGCATCTGCTACCCAGGCTGACTCTATGGATTCTGCAGGCTTGCCCAAGGAAAGGCACTCAGCATACTGTTCAAGCTATGAAGAGAGAAGTGATAGAGAGCCTTCACCGTCCCCAGCTGATACAGAGGACTCACTGGAGAAAGAGAAGTACTGTGGAGATGAAATTCGTGTCCATACAGTTTTGGATGGAGATCAAGATGAAGACAAGCTTGACCTAGAAGACAACACTGAGCAACCAAAGAGAAACAGGATTACTTACCCTCAAATGATTAAGGAGAGCCGGAGATTTAATATTGACTTGGTATCAAAGCTGCTGTATTCTCAAGGATCATTGATTGATCTTCTAATCAAATCAAATGTTAGTCGTTATGCAGAATTTAAGAATGTCACTAGGATCCTTGCGTTTCGGGAAGGGAAGGTAGAACAGGTGCCTTGCTCCAGAGCAGATGTCTTTAATAGTAAAGAGCTCACCATGGTTGAAAAGAGAAAGCTAATGAAATTCCTCACATTCTGTTTGGACTATGAGCAACATTCTGACGAATACCAAGATTTCCAACAATGTTCATTTTCTGAATACCTAAAAACTAAAAAATTAACACCCAATCTCCAGCATTTCATACTACACTCAATTGCAATGACATCAGAGTCATCCTGCACTACATTAGATGGCCTTAAAGCAACAAAAAACTTCCTTCAGTGTCTTGGACGTTTTGGCAACACTCCTTTTATATTTCCTTTATATGGCCAAGGAGAAATTCCTCAGTGTTTCTGCAGGATGTGCGCGGTTTTTGGTGGAATCTATTGTCTTCGCCATCAAGTACAATGCCTCATAGTTGATAAAGACTCTGGGAGGTGTAAAGGAATCATAGACCACTTTGGTCAGAGAATAAGTGCCAGCTATTTTATTGTGGAGGACAGTTACCTTTCTAAGGACACATGTTCAAATGTGCAGTATAAGCAGATCTCGAGAGCTGTGCTCATCACAGATGAGTCCATCCTGAAGACGGACTCAGACCAGCAGATTTCCATCCTGATAGTGCCTCCACTAGAGCCAGGAACTGGTTCCATTCGGGTCATGGAGCTATGCTCATCAACCATGACGTGCATGAAAGGCAGCTATCTGGTCCACCTGACCTGTTTCTCTTCAAAAACAGCCAGAGAAGACTTGGAACCAGTGGTGAAGCAGTTATTCATTCCTTTTGCCGAAGCAGAAGCAGAAGCAGACAAGGAAGAACTCAGAAAACCAAGACTCTTGTGGGCTCTCTATTTTAATATGAGAGATTCCTCAGGAGTAAGCCGAAGCTCATACTGTGGCTTACCTTCCAATGTGTATACCTGCTCTGGGCCGGACTGTGGACTGGGGAATGAGCATGCTGTCAAGCAAGCAGAAACACTCTTCCAGGAGATCTTTCCCAGCGAAGAGTTCTGCCCTCCTCCACCAAATCCGGAAGACATTATCTTTGAAGGTGAGGGTTAGCAACCAGACACTCCTGGAGGCAGTAATACACTTACCACCAAGCTAGACACCCTAAGGACAACAAGAACTTGTAGAGCCCAGAACACCTTCGAAATGAAAACAGACTGGAAGTATTTTCATCCTTGCTTCAAAATATTGTCATTTAAAAGACAGTTGCCATTTGTGATAAGTGCTGTTTACTTGGCTTCAACACTGAGACACTGGGTATCAAATAGCTCTGCTAATCTGTCAGCATCTGATTTGTTGGTGACTCAGCTTCTTTGTTTCAGAATTGGCTCCAGGAATCCAGAATCTTTGAATGTCATTAGCTTTTTTTTTTTTTTTTTTAACTTTTGGGTCCCACATTAGCAACCTTGCTTACCTTAAGGTAATATCACACTTGCCCCTGTGTTCAGATTGTATCTTTGTCTACACAAAATTAACATCCAAGAACTATTTTAGTTCCTGCTGCAGCTACTACTGTTGCTACCACCTCGGTTGCACAGAGGAACACATATATCAGAAACTGTCTGAGGTTTTTATATAGTACATAAACACATAGAGCTGATAGTAGGAGTAGCAGCAAATACAAGTGCTAATGTGATAAAAACACAACTGTCTGTTAGACACTAGGCCATGCATGATCCTGTGTCTTGGGGTTGATATTTACATGTGATTTTACCTACTTGACCTTCGTAACTAAGGAGGCAGTGAGACTACCTTAGCCTGCTTCTTCATAAAAAGAGTGAGTGCCCCTTAGTAGTTGAAGAAGCTCATATATTAGAGATACATTGCCATCTGGGCATGGTGGCTTACTTACACAATCCTATCATTGAGGAGATTGAGACAGGAGGATTGCTGTAAAGTCCAGGCCAGTCTGGACTATAGTGTTAAGACTCATTTCAAAACAGAATAACCTCCCCACGCCCACCAGAAAAAGAAGTATATTATAAAGAAAATTAAAAAGACAAAATTTATTCAGAAAATTTCTATAGAGCTGACACTGACATTTAAAAGAACTAACAATTAACTCAGGCTAACATAAATTAATAAATTACCCTAGAAAAAGGTACTTCAGGATAGGTGTTTGGAAATTTCCAGAAATGATTTCCCAAGGGGAAGTAGTGGTGCATCTTAACGTGGGATTCTAGATGCCTTTAAAGTTACAGACTTCCCTGTCCAGGGTTCTCAGGGTGAAGCGTGACACCTGGTTGGCTGTACTACTTTAGTAAGCACTGGTAACTGACAGAGTGCATCTCCTCTACTACATGTCTGTTAGCTGGAGAATGGGAAGCTTTCCCTCCAGAACCACCTGCTGCACCTCAGCAGTGAAAGCCCTTTACTGTGAGAAGAGGCGCAATGTGTTAGGAGACTAAGGGGTGCTCTGAATATCCTCCTACTGCCCTGTAGTGAGGAAAGTGAGACGAGACATGTAAATCAGTGCCTGTGCTGAGAATAGAAAGCCATGCATTGGTCTTGGTGGTGCTGTTTTTAATATGATAAACCCATAATACTGGGTTAAATACAGCCGAACAACTGAAATTCCTGAAATGACCGAAAAGTAGCAATTAAGAGAAAACAATTCTAAGACAGGTAAAATGGAAGGGAGTAAGTATTGCAGACCCACCTCATCAAGTTTGTCAGAACCACAGTCTATTCAAAAGACGTTAAAAAGAGGCACAGAGGTTCCAAAGACAGCTGAATGTAATGGCAATCAGGATTAGGCTAGGCCAAAGCAGGGGTTTCATTGCTTTTTTCTAAAGTAAGGAAGTGAATGTGTTACTTTAAATCAGCATAAAACAGTAAGTGGAAGTGAGGCAGGCAAGCAAAACGTGTTTGAAAAAATACAAGGGACGTGATCTCATTTCTAACAAGTTAGAGTGGGCTTCTTGGGGGTTTTCAGGGGTTTAAGAAGTAAAATTATAAATGCTGCCTTTCACTAATTATATTTTGACTCAATTAGGGCTCCATACTAAAAGTCAGACAAAATCTTTCACTCTGGCTAGATGAAAGCTGTAGAGTAAAATGTTGACCAAAGAGGTAACAGCCAACAGAAACAATTACTTACAGCGACTCAGGATGAGAAGGCTTGTGTTCAACAGAGTAGCCATACATCAACATGAACAGAACAAGTGATAAGAACCCATACTATTAACCGCACTAACTGAACATTTTCATTTGGTTTAATCATATTTACTAATGATTTTGTGAGCTTTTCATAACATGATAAGCAACTACTTAAAAACTTAACTTGAATTTATATTGGGAAAGCATGTATGAACCATTTCTTAAACAGAAATGAACAGCTTTGGTACTAATTTTATCTGTATATGGCTGAAAAATTGTCACTGGAATAAAAATACAAAGTAAAGATGTAGAAAGAAACCAGTGCAAATATATTCTATTTCCATGGCTTTATAACTCACTAAACCTGTATTACCATATAAATATACTATGAACAGAAGATAATTTCACAAGTTGCAAGATACATAGTTTTTTGAAATCTCATTTCTAGATTCTAATAGTAATGGAATTTTTAAAAGTATTGATATTAATATATATGAGCATCTTTATAAAATGTTTGTAGCTATAGTAATTTAAGAAAGATTCTTAAATAGGTTGAATGAAGGAGCTAAATTTAAAATACGATATGCGATCATTAGAGATGTCTTGAAGGAAATGATATAAACACAGGGAGACCTCACATTTATTACTAGTTGTCTGATCTCAAGGCAGTCACTTTGAACTTCCATTTACCATCTATGAAATAGAAATAATAAGTATTATTCTTCTTTGCAGAATTACATAAGAACCCATATCCAAAGTAATGCCAGCATGTGACATTTGTGTGTAACTGATATTTATTACAATATCATTTGTGATGTCAACCTTATACTTTCTGTAATTTAAGAGAATTGTGATAAAAATGACACAGGAAAGTAAGCAAGGAAAGGCAGCTTCCGTTTTAGAAGGGAAAAATATGGGGCTTTGTCCTTCAAGTCCTTAAGGCATGATATACAACCTGTCTAAATGTTCTGTGGTGCTGAGTTCAGGGAAGTTCAGACTGACCAGCTATCTGGAAAGAAGTATTTGGAAGCCACTCTTAGGAAGACTGGGTCAGTATGGAGAAAGGTTTCTATGGCCACTTTCTATCCAATAATGCAGTTTATTTGTTAATTAAAATGTTAAGCATAAAAGTAATAAGTATAGTTTTTACCTCATTTAACGATGCCAAGGAATATTCTGGCAGGTAAACAGTGACAAGGTAGATCAACTAAAATTAAAATGCAGAAATAGATACAAAACAAGGAGAGAAGGTGGAATAAAAAAGCAGTTTCTATTGCTGAGGTCTTTTTAAAAAAAATTTATTATTGTATTTTATTTTTTGGTTTTTCGAGACAGAGTTTCTGTATGTATCCCTGGCTGTCTTGGAACTTGCTTTGTAGACCAGGCTGGCCTCGAATTCCTGAGTGCTGGGATTAAAGTGCATGTACCACCACTGCCGGGCTTGTTTATGTATTTATTTATTTTAGTGGGTGCAAATTCTTTAGACTTTCTACTCTTCTTGTGCAGAGTATAAATTGATAGGTTGCAAATGGGGAAAAAGAAATAAAAATAAATTCCTTGATCCTCAAATTAATGTGCATTAAAATAGAAATTAAAGCAACTTTGACTGAGTCCCTACCATTAAGTGGATTTTCAATGCATAAGTCTTCATACAGCAGCCGCATGTATTCGTGGTCATTTTGAAGAACTAGTTAAGAGATTAACCAGATCTCTATAACTGATGTTTTTGACATTGCTTTGAGTGGTCCATGCCCAGGAAAATACTCAGAATGGACAAATCAATAAAGCAACTTCTAAAAAGATGTTTTAGCAATTCCTTTGTACTTGTTTTAAAAACCTGCTGAATAAGAAATAGATACATTTTGGTGTGTTGCTAGTGCTATAGTAACCTTACAGAGAGTTAAATGGCATATGTAAGATTGTATGTAAACAGTTTGAGAGTCAAAAAGATGTTAGTTTACAACAAATTGTTGCGTGCTGGTTACATTTGTATAAAAATTTAGATTTCTACACTGGAAGGAATCAGAAGGCATGTAATTGCAGGTTAATACTTAATCTCTGTTTCTGTAAAATATTGGTGTGTACAATAAAAATAAAAGATTAATTGGTGAAATGGTTTACTTGATTGATAAAAAAAATACTGATTTCTTGAAAACATATAAATTCTCCTTTAAATTAAAAAAAAAAAAAGCAAAACATTTCTAACTGTTAAAGTAAAAGCTAATTTCCAAAAATGTGTGGCTGAAAGTTTTTGCAGGACTTCATAAGAAGAAAGTTTTGATGAAGATGGACTTTTATCTTCTGTATCTTTTCTCAGTTGTCTGCCTTTAAGAACTAATTATGGAAACAGTAGATGCATTCCAGTTCATCAGTGTGAAGATCTTCCATGGCCCAGCATGATGGCGCATGCCTGTAATCCCAAACCTTGGCATGCTGAGGTAGGAGAATTGCTGTAAGTTTGAGGCCAGCCTAGACTACATAAGAAACCATCCAGGGCTATGTAGACACCCTGTCTCAAGAGACAGAGAGAGAATGAGAATTACATAGTAATCCAAATTTGAAGTCATCCATTACTGTGGAGATAAAGTCCGAGAGCCATGGAGATAGGTCAGTTCAAGGTGTCCACTGAGCAGTTGTGAAGAGGAGTCCTTTGCCGAGGATACACCTAGGGACTGAGGACACAGGCCAGTACTTTCTTCAGTCAGCTTGAGTAATCCGAATGTAACCTGACAAGCAGCAGCTCAACTCCTAATGTAAATGAGTTGACATCAGTCAGTTTAGGGGTCAGAAATAACGAAAGCAAACAGGACATGTTCTCTACCTGAGAAGCCTGCTGGAATGCTGGAATGCTTACCCTAAGGTAAGGGGTCCTTCCCACTAACAAGCATTAGAACATTTTATACCCACCATCCTTGCCCTTGATCTGAAAACTAAGAACTTGTGATGTATGACATTTTTTCCCCCAATTTGATTTTGTAAGCTTTTCTTTTTAGAGTGACGATTTGTAAGAACATTCAAACTTTTTTTTTCATGGTATTTAAGAGGGTGCAAGCACTTTTGAGTTGCAGAGTTGGAAACAAGCTGCTTAAAGACTAGAAGCTGGGTCAGTCAACAGTTGCTGAAATCCATCCTAGCTAACATTTTCAGCTCTGTGTCCTGCGTGGGGAAGAGGAAGTACAAGACACTGAGCCCAAAGCCCAAGGTCCCGAGCGTTGAGGGAGGTGCAAGTGTGAACAGCCCAATGACAGAAGTGGAGTGTGAAGCGTTCAAAGTACCAGAGACAGTGTCCTGTTCAGGTCCAGTTCTCTTGGCTTTTGTGGTGGCTGTAGTTGAAGTCCTATTCCACTGGCTTTTATGTCAATACTTTGCCTTAATTCACATTTCTGTATTTATCTGGGGTGGAGGCTGCTACAGTACACTTGGTGGAAGTCAGAGGGCAACTTGTCTCTCCCTTGAAGTTTCCAGGGATTGAAATGAGGTCCCTGAGCTTGTTGGCCAGGCCCCTTATCCACTGAACCATCTCAGCAGTCTTTTTAACCTATTTTTATTTTATTTTGACTGGTTTTGTTTTTGAGACAAGATTTCATATATCCAGGTTGTCTTTGAACTTGCTGAGTTCAAATGAAGAACTTCTGATCCTCCTGCCTCTACTGAGATTGCAGGTGTGTGCCACCACACCTAATTTGTGGGGGTGCTGGAAACTGAACCCAGGTTGTCATTGCATTCGACGGAAAGCTTTCTCCAAATGAGCCACATCCTCAGCTCCCCCCGCCTTTAAAAAAAACCTGTATTAGAATGAGGTGTTTCATTTTTCACCAATGAAAGAATGCATTCATATTTTAACAGGGGGAGCAGTATCTCCAGATTTGTGTAAGATGTACTCATGCAGTTCATGGGTGACTCAACTTGATTATTTCATGGGCACTGGAACAGCATTTTACTACAGTGCGTAGGACACTGACTTGTTCCTTCGGGGTACCGCTGTAAGGTAAGGAAGGGCAAATCTATGTCTATATGAGACCTGAGATCTATGTGATATGCCTGGACTCCTACTTAGCATTCTAGATGCACCAGCGTCTCTTAAGATGCTGTGGTTCTGCTTGCCCTGTATCTGAATAGAGTAGATTGTTCCACATGCATGTGCAAAACATAAAAATCATGACCTGAAAAGTGATGGGTCTGAGAACTTGACTTCCTAGCAGATATCCTATGAATTCACATTTGTGCAATCAAAGCAGACTGATCAGGGTTAAAGGGACAGGGAAGTTAATTGTGCACACATATGAAACTTCTTTGTCCTGGTATTGCTGTCAAGAGCACTACATAAATTATTCTTACTGTTGTCCTGTAATTTTAGCATTTACTGTTGCTGAATATATATATATATTCCTTTAAACACTCCTTACAACTACTTCAGAGGCATATCCACAAGAGGAAGAATGGCCAAGGGTATGATTGACAGGTGTCAGGGAGGTAGGTGTTGTAGTTCAGTCAGAAAGTCATGGCATCTCCAAGAATTTTATAGTTTACAGGAAAGAATCCTTGGAGACGTCCGCACAGGAGGTTTCATACCAGGGTATGACTTGGTTTTGGCTTTTTGAGACAAGGTCTTATAGCCTAGGCTACCTTGAACTTGCTATGTAGCTAAGAATGATCTGTAACATGTGACCCTCCACCTTGCAAGTTCTGAGATGACAGGTGTGTGCCACCATGTCCCACTTCACTTATTTTTGCTGAATCTTGTATAATTAAAATTCCCAAGCCCTCTATCTTTTGAGATTGGCTTGTTCCTGTATTCATCTCATAGATACAATTATGCTAACCTAGTTAAAATGTTCTTTGTAAGTTAGCATCTTTATGTTTGTAAGCTTATAGTTAAACCTTTTGAATAAATCTCAGACCTTACACATTATAAAGAGGAAATGTCACAGAATGTCTTGCTGAAGATCCAGGAACCTTACTTTCAGGCAATCAGCAATTATGAATTTTCCTATTGTAGAATCCACCTAGAATGAACCAATAAGACCATTGTTAAAACAGTACAAATTTTAATTTTAAGGTGTTCCATTAGTATTTTTATTCATCTTCTACCATTAGGGCAGTGATTCTCAAGATATCTACCCTCCAGGAGGCATTAGAGGATGTTGGGAGCTTTTGTTAAAATGGGAAAGGGGAAGCTACCAGCATGTAATGTGTAACAAGACTGAGGTAACGGTGATGTCCTCATGAAATGCTCAAGGTGGCCACCTCCCAACAGGTTTACCCAGCACAGACATCACTGCTGCCAAGATTGAGGAGCCCAGGACGGATGACTATCCTGGTGAACCTCATTTTTCTGTGTCCCGATAGCTGCCTGTTGTCCTTGGGATTTCTAACTAGGTCACTTGTTCTTTGTACCCTGTCATTATCAGCAGGAATCCTAGTATTTACGCTGGGCTGCTTCATGAATATCCCCTGTACCCACCCATCTCCCATTATGAGCCAACAGTGGCTTCCTTTTAGAAATTTCGGATCATGCAACCAATTTTAGAGGATCAGTTAATACTCCCCACCCTCCTCTAATCATCAAATATGAATTAGAAGTTCCATGGGTTTTTAAAAATATTTCCAAGGAATAGAATAATTCCAAGACAATTAGAAATGAGGATTTTTTTTTTCATGTGCTACAGAATAAACTACTCCCAAACTAATATACAAATAGCATATTTCAAACGCTCTTTGGAAGGGCATTATGTGAAAGTTCTCATTATATGCATCTGACAGCATCCTGTGAATTTAAGAGGAGCCATCAGAAAATTAAATAAGTTGCCCACAATGGAACTGCAGTTGCTTTGACAGTGGTTCACCAGGTGTTGAGACAGTGCTGCAGATTGGCAGTTAATAGAAGGCGTTAACTGTAGGAGATAACTAATTGTGATGGAGTATGTGTTCTACACAGAGAAGACCCTTGAGCCTGGACCACAGCTGGATGCAGAGGTTCTAAGCCAACCATCACTCACTGGCTGGTTATCCCAGTTACAGGAGTTTTAGGAGTCTGGATGACAGTGAACACTGGGCACTTACTGTATGCATCCCAGGTGCTCCTGTAAGTTCTTGTTATCTTTTGTCTAATCCTCGGCCCATCCAGGGTAGGTGCTTTTATTGGCCTCATTTTGCAGAAAGGAAAACAGACACTTTGAAGGCAAGGAATTTGACGACCATCACACAGCTGCCAAGTGGGAGGGGGTCAGGAGTATGCTCCAAACTCTGCCCATCTGATACCATAACTCACGCTGTGACTGAAAGATGCCCTGTCTTCAGAGAGGTGCCAGATACAGTCCGAGAGTACCAGGAACTGCATACATTCCAAGAACTCTTCTTATCTCCACATATTACTTTTTTAAAATCAGCTCTGTGATGATAAACACTGATGTTTCTACATGGGGATAAAATAGACTGTTCATCAGCTCCCAGCATCACTGAAAGGTAAGCAGTGCAGCTCTTGGTCTATTGGGGCTGACACTGTCACACATTAGCCACTATATTATATTAGGCTGTATGACTGACTGGAAAAATAGACCTAGATCAATGAATGCACAAGAGGGAGATCTTGGAATGCTTCATAAATGAGATCCACTTGGAGGGAGATCTTGGAATGCTTCACAAATGAGAGTCACTTCGAGGGAGATCTTGGAATGCTTCACAAATGAGATCTACTTGGAGGGAGATCTTGGAATACTTCACAAATGAGATCCACTTGGAGGGAGACCTTGGAATGCTTCACAAATGAGAAGGCATTTGACCTGCACCTGAAGGATGAGAAGGATTTCCTTGGGATGAAATGAGGGAAAGCAGTCCCTGCCAGAAGCATGGTAGAAATGAAGTCCTTGTTTGACTTCACATGAGCTCCCACCCTTCCATTAGTTGTAGGCTGTTAAGATTTCCAAGTCTGTTTTCCCTTCATAGGCTTGTTGAAAGCGCAAGGATTTGAGGCAAGGATGGCCAGTATCTTATAACTGTCCCAGAGTAGGTTCTCACGGAACCCAGCCTGTGATAGGAAGGGAGGCACACTGTCCTGATGACATTATTTCAGAGCCAGACTATGGGGCTCATATTTATTTTCTATTGGGCACC